AATCCCAGCACTCGGGAGGCAGAGGCAGGAGGATCTCTGTGAGTTCGAGACCAGCCTGGTCTACAAGAGCTAGTTCCAGGACAGGCTCCAAAACCACAGAGAAACAGAGAAACCCTGTCTCGAAAAACCAAAAAAAAAAAAAAAAAAAAGAAAAGACCCCGGACACAAGAGAAGATCTAGTGTATAATTTCATTTACTGTACATATGCATTTGCTCGTTCACACCAGGTAATCATTAGGCAGGAAAAAGAGCTTATCAGCAGTTAGGGCTCAGGAACTAGAGAGTGGAGTGTTTCCTCACAGGTACAGGGAAATATCCTACTAGTGGCGACAACTGTACAAGTCACCGGGCTGAACACCACCAGACTGTAAGAGTTAATACAGCGAAATGGTAAATTTATAGTATAAATCTTTTGCCACATTTTAAGACTTTATTATGTGCCTTAAACAGTAACCAGGATGTTGTGAGTTTATTTAGGCAAAGAGGAAACACTGGGAGATGTGCCTGGAATACGGTGAGTGCTTAGCACCCGCCAGTTGCTACAATTACACCCATCCTGGCTTCATCTATAGACCAGCCCTACCCATTACAACTTTCTTCCCGTGTTCACTAAGCATGGTAAAAAAAAAAAGGGGGGGGGGTAATTTCTTACTTAGCTATGATTACACAGTGGCTAGTGCGTTATCTTCTCATGCAACCCTAAAACCAACCCTAGGAGGTACCATCAGCTCATTTTGCAGATACAGAAAGGCTAAGTGACTTACCTAAGGATTAAAAAATGTAAGCCCTTCAAGGACTATAACCTGGACTTGGAACTGAAACAATTTTCTACCTACATATTCTGTGTGCTTTTCAGTGCCTCGAGTTATTCCTCCCAGTGAAATGAGGTGGTCTGAATCCATACAATGTCGAGTACTTCCTTGAAGCCTCCAAATGAAGGGTTCCACCGAAACACTGGGCAGAGAAGGTAACTCACTGGCAGAGAGGACTGGCTAGCAAGAAAAAGTGCATGAGGCTAAGGGACTATGCTTTTTTTTCTCTCCATCTCTTCCAACATCCACCCCAGGTCTCTGCCGTCTACTTGCCTAGTCGATCCATGGCCATCTCAGTCTCTGTCTCCTGACCAGAGAGGTCAGCTGCGGCAAAGCCAGCCTGTGGAAAAAGAGATCATTACCCAGGAACTTGGGTATCTGGGACATGTCACTACCCAGATGCTCTGAGCCCACTCTCCCATAGTGCTCTTCACACTGAGGGGTTTGCACCTGCTCCTGAGGACCCAGCAAGGCTAGAGAGGCTGGGCCTGTAGGCATCACCCAGCAATGCTTCTCCAGCTACACCACTGGGAAAGCCTCCTTGTGGTGGCCAACTGACAATGGCCAGTTTTGCTCTCACCCCTGGGCCCTCTTCAGGAGTCTGGGTACAGGACTTTACACTCAAGATACTCTAGAGCCAATCTGGCCAGCTCCTGGGTCTCAGGGTTTCTGATTCCAGGTCTGTCTGTAAACCCTTCCTCTGTCACTTGGGTCTCGGGGTTTCTAATTCCAGGTCTGTCTGTAAACCCTTCCTCTGTCACTTGGGTCTCGGGGTTTCTAATTCCAGGTCTGTCTGTAAACCCTTCCTCTGTCACTTGGGTCTCGGGGTTTCTAATTCCAGGTCTGTCTGTAAACCCTTCCTCTGTCACTTGAGCAGCTCTGCCTTCATCTCCTTTTTCTGGCTGGGATTGATAGCTGTTTCCTGCACCTGCTACTTCTCTGCAAACCTTTTTTTCAGTTACTTAACCTTATATCTAACAACTCCTTCTTACATTGGTGTATGTATGTATGTATGTATTATGTATGTATGTATGGTGCTGGCATGTATGTCTGTGTGAGGATGCTGGAAGCCCTGGAACTGGAGTCAAAGGACAGCTGTGAGCTGCCATGTGGGTGCTGGGAACCAAACCCAGGTATTCCAGAAGAGCAGCCAGCGATCCCAATTGCTGAGCCACCTCTCTAGCCCCTAATCTCTAACAGTGTCTCCCCAGTGGTATGTGGGGACCCAGAGTTTTAGTTTCTAAACAGTGAACGAAATACTTAAATCCCTGCTGCCAACCAGGTCATTTTATTCCCTATTACTTCAGAGTGCCCCAAACTTTATTGTCTCCAAGATCCTCTCTCCAGTGGAACCAGTTAAGTCCACAGCTTGATTAGGCCAGATTCCAATCTTAGCCCTGTCACGCACCCAGGGCATGACCTGGGGTGGTTGTTCTGACCTTGCAGGGGTCCTATGTTGACGTAACATTTATGAAAACACCTAGCACAGGCTGGAGATGTCTCAGTTGGTAGAGTGTTTGCCTAGTGTGCTCAATGCCCCAGGTTGGTTTTCCAGCACGACAGAAAGCCAGGTATGGTGGCACATACCCTTAATCCCAGCATTTCAGAAGTGGGGGCAGGAGGATCAGAAGTTCAAGGTCAGTCTTGGTCAGAGTGAGCTCCTGGGCTACAGGAGACCCTGTCTCAAAAAATACTATAAAGGCAACAACAATAACAAAACCACCTGTTAGATTCCAGACAAGTAACATTTCTTGGACTTACATTCACTTTGTTTTTAAGCTTTTATTTATTTCTATATTTACATATATTTGCAAGCGTACATGTACCAAACCCCCTGGACAGGGAGTTGCAGATGGCTGTGAATCACCTACAGTGGGTGCTGGGAACCAAACCAAACTCTCTAGGACCAACACCGTGCTCTCTCTCCAGTCTTAAATGAACGTTCCATCATACACCTGTACTTACACACACTCTAATTAGCGTTCATTATCCATTCATGCCTGGACTTTTAATGATTCAATTCTGCCTCCTGTGGTCAGCCATAACCCATAACCAGAGCTCACTGCTAACAGCCCCCAACCCCCGCAAGGTGTTGGGCCATCTCTCCACTCCTGCTCAGTCTTAGGGCAATCACTACTCTTCTCAAAACCTTCGTGGGCCCTCCACTGCCATCATAGACCTCCAATGCAATTCATATTGCTCGCACGTTCACCGACTGGCGATTCGCTGAACCACTGACCTCTTCCTGGACAAGGCCCGGTCTAGGATCCAAGCTTCAGGGTCATTTGCTCCATTTCCAACCTCCAGGCCTTGCTGGGCCACTGTCCTCTCATCACCACCCCGACAAAATGAGTGCTGTCCTATTCTGTAAAGCTAATTTTCTTGGCGAATCTTTTGCTACGGTTGCTACAAGTAGCATCTCTGAGGCTCAAGGAAAGCATTCCATTCATAGACCCAATTAGCATATACGTTGTGTCAGGCACAAGGCGTGGCTTCTGGTAAATAGGGTGCCCACGGTCAAGCTCACTGTAGAGGTGGACGCTGAATAAGGGCGGGTCATAGAAAAAGGCGGTATTGCGCCCACTCGAAAATAAGTTTCTGGAAATCCCGTGTCACAAAGGGGCCTTTCCGTTTCAACAAACGGGAAAAAATAAAGCACCGGTGACATCTGGCGTCCAAAGTCAGCTGCACATCCCCACCAACGACCAGGTGGGGAAGGTAAAAAAAAAAAAAAGAAAAGAAAAATCCGTTTCCTCGACGCTCCCACCTGACCCCGGCCCCCAGGCCCCCCGGTTTCCCTTTCCCTCCGGCGCCCGCTACCACCCCGGGCTCGGGTCCGCGTGCGCGCGCGCTCGCTCCCGCCGTTACCGGCCGGACTGCACGCTCGCGGGGCCCCGGCGTTTCCCGGGTGAGCGGCCGGACGGCAGCGCGAGAGCCCCGCGGCTTCCAGCCCGCGTCCCCCACCCCGTGGCGCTCACCTCTGCGCTGGGGGCCTCCCGAGCACCGGGCTCTCCGGACCCCTGACCGAGGGCCGCCTGAGGGTCCATGCCCCGCCGCCCACAGCCAGGCTCCCGGGACGCTCCGGCACGTGACGGCCGACAGCTGCCGAGCGGCCAATCGGCGCGCGGCGCTGCCACCGAGGGGCGGGGCGGCGCAGGGGCAGCGGCACCGGACGACACGCCCACCTGCGTCGTCTGGGGACCACAGGTTCCCAAACTCGTCCTGACGTCCCTGGTTTAGAGCCTTAGGCAGGACAGGGCCTTCCCCATGGCAGGTTTAAATGACCAGAGTCAACCCGATAGCTAAGAAAGCCCAGCCTTCGTCACAGTTAAAGTCACCGCTGCTCCATCTCTTTTCCCTTCACCCCATCACAGGGTTTTCCAGATAACTCAGCAGCCTGAAGACTTGCCACCTTGGCTTAATGATCATTTTTGAAGTCAGTCCATCGGGAATCAAGATAAACTCCCCAAACAATGCGCCACCCGGAAATACTCTGTGGCTGTGTTATCGAACTTGGAAGTCACAACTCCAAGTCAGTAATGTGACTCCATTGCATAAGTCCCCATTTTGTTCTTCCCACAGTTAATTTGGTATTTTTATTGGCTTATTGAATATGGTTGGTCAGACCTGATTTGGGTCACAAGTTGTGACCCCGGAGTTCAATAACAGTTGGGCAGTAGAAGGTGAACAAACCTCTATCTTTCAATGCACAAAGTCTCCAATCTGGTTATTTCCCTGTTTCTTCAAAGACACAAGTCAGCAGCAAGCTGCAGACAGAGTGCATGTGTGTGGATGTGTGTGTGTGTGTGTGTGTATCAATATTCTTTGTGGTCTAGAAATTCTGTGAAATACAAGTTTTCTAAGAAAGCAACAATGAAAGTTACCAAAGATCAACAAGAATCTTCACCAAGGCGTTGTTAACAGAAAATTAAAAATGGCAAGGTCCAGCCACAGAGGATGACTAAGTCACTGCTTACTTTTCTAATGGAGTGTTTTGTTTAGAAGGCATTCAATGCTTTTTTTTTTTTCTAAAGCCTGCTTTATTACCTTTCTTTTCAGAAGGCTCCTGCCCTTGCACAGACCTCAGCCCCAAGCTAGTCAGACCACAGGCCAGTTCCTGCCTGCCCCGGCTCCCAACACCATGGCTGGGCAGATCCAAGGAACAGAAGTTAGTCCTGAAGTCCCCATGCTGTGTGTGGAGGGCAGTGGTTCTGGTGGGAGGGGCAAGTGCATCATCTGGAAGGTTCTGGTCAGGATATTCAGCAGCGCGGCTCCCATTAATGCATCAGCTTCAAAGGCCTTCTGGAGTAGCAGACATTGTCCTTCAGGAGTGGAGACCCCACAGCCATCCCCACCTTATCCCAACGGTGGCCTTTTTTATAGATGGGCTTGACAGAGCTGGGAGCCCAGCGAGTCAGGTAGCGGTTGAGCTTGGGTTTATTCTTGGATAAGGACCCTTCTGGAAGCCGTGGCCTGTGATCCGGTAAAAGACCTGCTCGGTGAGCCATCTTTACACACTCCTCGATCTTCCGGTGTTGTTCCAGGCACAAGCCTGTGACACTCCGGGGCAGCATGCCTCCGTGTGGCCGGATGAACTGACTGAGCAGCAGCACATCCTCAGAGTTATACTTGTGCTTCAGGTTCCAGCGGCAGATGGGGCACTGGCCTGAGGGGTTAGGGGGATTTGGAGTTGCCTTGGGAGTTTCTGTGATTCGGCCTTCGATTACAGTCGTCTTCCCTTCTTGGATCTCCACCACTTCTCTCAACCTGCGAGCTGGAAGCCACAGCCAGCCAGTCGTGGCGGGGCCTCCCAGGAACCCGTGGAGCTGCCTTCCGCACCCGGACACCAGAGCCCTGAGGGCCGCCATCTTGGGAACACACCTGACCTCACGAGCACTTCCGCTTCCCTCAATGCTTTTTTAAAATTTATTTTATGTGCATTGCTTTGAAGGTGTTAGATCCCCTAGAACTGGAGTTATAGACAGTTGTGAGCTGCCATGTGGGTGTTGGGAATTGAACCCAGGTCTTCTGGAAGAGCAGCCAGTGCTCTTAGCTGCTCAGTCATCTCTTCACCCCAGCATTTACTGTTTTTATTTATTTATTTATTTATTTTAAATATTTATTTATTTATTATGTATACAATATTCTGTCTGTGTGTATGCCTGCAGGCCAGAAGAGGGCACCAGACCTCATTACAGATGGTTGTGAGCCACCATGTGGTTGCTGGGAATTGAACTCAGGACCTTTGGAAGAGCAGGCAATGCTCTTAACCACTGAGCCATCTCTCCAGCCCATTTACTGTTTTTAATATGTGTGTGCATATGCACATGTGTGCATGTATGAAGAGGCTGGAGGTCACAATAGGTGTCTGACTTAGTCACTGTTCTGTTGCTGTGAAGAGACACCATAACCAAGGCAGCTCTTAGAAAACATTCACCTGGGGGCTTGCTTTCAGTTCCAGAGGTTCAGTCCATTACCATCATGGCCGGAAGCATGGCAGCAGACATGGTCAGCATGGTGCTGAGGAGGGCTGCATCCGGATCTGCAAGTGGAAAGAGAGATACATTGGGCCTGGCATGGGCTTTTGAAACCTCAGAGCCGACCCCCAGTGACACACTTCCTTCATCGGGGTGAAAGACCTGGATAAATCCAGACCTCCCCAGCAGGAAGAAAATAGCCAAAAATCCAAGCAGGAAGAGAAGAATCAAAAATCTAGGATTAGCCGGTTAGTGACTGTGTTTCAGGAACTAGCTGAAGATAAAGTTAGGTTGTAATCTTGAGAATAATCTTGAGAAACAGGGAGTTTCCCCCTTGTGATTGCCATTGTAATGTGTTTTAAGAACTAGCTGATTATGACCTTGGGAGTGGTCCTGAGAGGCAGGGGGTTGCCCCTTGTAATCTTCACTGGTATTTTTGGAATTTTCTGTGACACACTCCCTGCCAATTCCGGACCACTGGGCTGTGGTTTCTTCCCTTAAAAATCACTTCTCCTGGTCACTCGGGGTTGAACTCTCCCCCTGCGTGGGTTATGAGTCTCGGCCCCAGTGCACTGGTTCCCGTCTCATCTCATCAATTAAAGCCTCGTGTGATTGCAGCAAGGATGGTCTCTTGTGAGTTACTGGGGGGTCGTGTTATCCCGAGACTCGAGTGAGAGTCTCCCCAGCACCGGGAGTCTTTCAAGGGCAGATCTCCTGATCTTTCTAATCCTATCAAATAGTTCCACTCCTTAGTCCAAATGTGTGATCCTATGGGAATCATCTTATTTAAACCACCACAGGATCTCTGTTGCTCTCCGCCTTAAATGTATAACAGCATCTCTCACAGAATCTGGAGTTCGTTGATTAGGCAAGACTAGTTGTCTAGCAAGCCTCAGGGACCCTCCTGTCTCCGTCTCTCCAATGCTCTGTTACAGGTTTGCCCGATGTTTCCCTGGTGATCCAAGCTCAGTTTTCATTCTGGTATGGTAAACATTTATCTGCTGAGCCATCTCCCTAGCCCCTAAGATTCTTCAGTGATACAGAGAAACCACATATTGTTAAGTGAAACCTTTCTTTTAAAGATTTATTATGTATACTGTGTTCTGCCTCCGTGTCTGCATGCAGGCCAGAAGAGGGCACCAGATCTCATAGATGGTTGTGAACTACCATGTGGTTGCTGGGAATTGAACTCAGGACCTCTGGAAAAGCAGCCAGTGCTCATAACCCCTGAGTCGTCTCTCCAGCCCTGCTAAGTGAAACATTACTAAGTAAAACTGTATCGAATGTTTCCGCAGTGACAGCAAGATGTCATTCCCACTGATGAATGTCTCCTCCATGCCACGGAACCCTTCTCTGCTCCCACTTTTGTTTCTGAGCTTCCCCGCTGAGCCCCTTCTCTACTGCCCCGTCTACTCCTCTCACGGTGCTCTTCTTTTACTGCCGAGCCTTTAAATGTAAAAAGCCCTTTGCTTCTCAGTCCTTGGGATAAATAAAACACAGTTTACACTGTCTATGCCTTCTCCAAGGATGTTCCCCCGGCACCTCCACTTCTACTGTTTGAACCAGCTCTCTCAGAATATTTAGCTGTCTTACCAATTCCCAACTCCCACCCCTTGAAGTTCCCGACTTTTCTGTACATGATGAAAACTCAGCTATTTCTTGAATGATTGAATGATCTAAAAGTGCCTCTCCAATTCTGAATAAGAAAATCAAACAGCTGAGTTCACCTCTAGGTAGAAAACAGTAGGCTTTTATTTCTCTTCTCTACACTGTCTTGTTCCTCTGTATTTGAACGTTTGTCGCATATGTTTATAATAGGGAGAGATCAGAGACAAGCACACTGTCTCATCTGTTTTAACTTGACTCCACTATACCATATTTATATTAGAGATTTATGATATGTATATGTATACACACATAGGCACAATGTAGGTCAAAAAATGAAAACCAGTTGTATGACTTCCATGTGTTCTGAGAAACATTTAGGAACTATGATATGATTAGGTATGGTGGTACCAGGAGAGGGCACCAGATCTCATGGATGGTTGTGAGCCACCATGTGGTTGCCCAAAATATCAACACTTGGAAGGCTGAAGCAGGAGGATTGGGATCTGGAATTCAAGACTAGCCTGGGCTTCTTGAGACTTTACCTCAAAAACCAAACCAAACCAGCAGCAAGAGAAGCCCAGAGCTAAAAGCTGCAGGTCTGGTTTGACAGGCACACACTCTGTGAGCAGTTCTCCTTTCTGGAACTAAAAGTGTCTTTCAAAATCCATCGGCTTTCCTGCCTGCCATTTTTGAACAACTCACACAGAGGGCCTGCTAAGCAACTGTGCACAAAATCACTTATACTCCTGATGCGCATAGCTTGTTTAACCACCGATTGTTCGGCTCTCGTTGCTCTGACATACTGTCGTGGCTCATTGGTAGATTAGTGGTTCTGTGGGTGCCAGGGAAGGAGTTCGACTCCTTTGTGTAATCCATGCAAAGCTCTTTAAGAGCAACCACAGTTTACTGTAAACAAAATTAGATCTGACACAGACTTATTTTTTAATTTCAGATAAACAAGTATATTTTAGTATAAGTAGGCCCTAAATATTTCATGAAACATATAACTTATCAATTGCTTCTTTTTTCTTTTATTTTTTATTGATTTTTATTGAGCTCTATATTTTTCTCTGCTCCCTTCCCTGCCTCTCTGCTCCCCTTCAACCCTCTCCCAAGGTCCCCATGCTCCCAATTTACTCAGGAGATCTTGTCTTTTTCTACTTCCTGCTGGGGTTGCAGGTGCACACCACCGTTCTGATTTTATTCAGTCTTTGAAATCAAGGCCACCATCCCTGTGTGTCCGTCAATCAGTCTGCCCTGAAACTGCGACCCCAAACCCCCCTGCGTTTGGATTTCTGTGTACTAGTTTCTATCTGAGTCATCCCAATCCACCTTCCCCACAGATTTCCGATTCTGATGATAAAAACAGAAATGGGCTGGAGAGAGGACTCAGTCGCTGAGAGCACTGGCTGCTCTTTCAGAGGATGACAGTTCGATCCCCAGCACCCACATGGTGGCTCACAACTGTCTGTAACTCCAGTTCCTGGGGATTCTGGCTTCTGAAGGCACCATATATGTGTGGTAGCCAGACCATAAATAAATCTTAAAACAAAGACAAAAACTAAACAGAAACAGTAACCGAGGGCCCGTTTGCCTCCTTCAGCAGAGACCAGACAAAACAGGCCCCGTGAAGGTGCCGGGACCGCAGCACTTTACCCAGCCTGGCAAGGATGGTCCTGGGACAGGAGACGTTGAGCCACCGGTCCCCCAGGAGATCCTTGTTCCCCCTCTGCAAGGTCACCATTCCTAAAGCAGCTCTAAGGGATCAGAGGTAGCCACTTGTTTTATTTGACTTTAAGAGCAGAGTCTGGCTGCATAGCCCATGTTCACTTAGAAATCTGGACCTTCCTGTCTGTCTCTTTTCCAAGTGCAGGGATTCCAAGTGTGAGCCACCACACTCTGCTGAAGCAGACATCCACACTGAATTACAATGAGGTTTAAAAATAAACGCTGCCGTAATGTAGAAACTCCGGATCCATTTGCCTAGCGCTGCCATATTGTAGAAACTCCGGATCCATTTGCCTGGCAAGCAAGGTCGCTTACTTGCTCCTTTCTGAACAATGTAATTTTCCTGAAAAAGACAAAAAGACGAAAGACGAAAGACGGGCAGTTTTCCTGTAAACTAGAAGGGATGAAATGTTTTCTTCTACGAGGACAGAAAGCCTTTCGCATCTCATATGTATAAACAAACACCCAGACCTCGGCCTCTGTAGCAGACAGTTTAATAAGGACCCCGCTGCAAACTAGTGTAAGGAGTGGGACTGACAACTGTCAGTCCCCTGCCTCACCCAATGTTTAGTGACCTTAGCCACCCCTGAAGTCTGCTCTTCACTTCTCTTCCTCTTTTCTTCTTGGTCATATTTAGAATCTTTTCCCCCCCTTGATTTGGTTTTTGGACACAGGGTTTCTCTGTGTAGCCCTGGCTGTCCTCAAACTCAGAGATCCTCTTGCCTCCCAAATTGGGATTAAAAGCATGCACCACCATTTCCTGGCTTGTGTTTAGAATCTTTGTTTTTTCTACAAAGCTTTATTTATTATGTATACAATATTCTGCCTGCATGTATGCCTGATAGTTGTGAGCCACTATGTGATTGCTGGGAATTGAATCAGGACCTCTGGAAGAGCAGCCAGTGCTCTTAACCTCAGAGACATCCCTCTAGCTCATGTTTAGAATCTTTTTTTTTTTTTTTTTTTTTTTTTTGTTTTTCGAGACAGGGTTTCTCTGTGGTTTTGGAGCCTGTCCTGGAACTAGCTCTTGTAGACCAGGCTGGTCTCGAACTCAC